CCAGTGGCCACAGCCGGATTCGCGGGGAGTTGTTGCTGAAGGGCAAGTTACCGACAAGCACTATGTCGGAAACGTTATCAAAAAGCTGCACCCCTGACGCAGGCAGCCAGCTGGTTGGCGGAGGGGGGCGGAGGGGGGGTGCATTGGGAGTGGACATTACCGAGGAGGTGGACGTTGGAAACTGATCCTCAATTACCGACGAGACTATTGTTTCAAATTAATTTACAGGTGTACTTCTTGTCGGTGATATGCCTTTCCTCCTTTCCCGCGTCGGCCGGAGTTTTGGTTACAATTACCGACAAGGAACACGTACGTATTCTGTTAAGTCACCGACGAGTCTTACGTCTGTAAAAGAAATAATATATCTTACTGCCATTTTTACTGTTTCTCAAGGTCCAGACGTATATCTTGTCGGTAAATGGATCCTTCACCGAGAAGCCTTCTTACCTCGGTGATAATTGGTCGGTGAAGCTCGGTTTTCTTGTAGTGAGATGCCACGATTTTCTATTACCAATCCTCTAATTCTCAATCAAGAAGCCAAACAGGCCAGTTTTATGCTGAATTCGAGTTTAGTAATTATGGTACTTTCTCGTTTCCAGGAAAAAGATTTTTTATTAGAACAATAGTTTTAAAAATTATGCAACAAGTCCCAAAACTTTTAAAATTTTGTAACAAGTTGCAAAACTTCTATTCTTATGCACTCAAGTCATCCTCTATATAAAAGAATTCAGAATTATGTAAAATTAATATAAAAAATCACATTCTATCTATCCAAATATGAATAAAATCAAAATTCAAATAAAAAGTTAAAACATATAAAATACAACTCATCACCTACCACATAATAGTTGAAAGGTGTAATTATGATTACTGTTTATTTTGTTAAAATCACTAAAAGTTATGTAATTATATATTTTTTAATTAGATAATCATAATATTTAAAAATATTAATTTATAAACTGATTTTAAGTAATCCCTTGTTTTATCAAATATTAGCTATTATTATCAATTAAATTAAATAAAATTAATATCTTTTAAACAAAATTTTAATAATTTTAACAAAATAATAAATAGTTATAATCACACACATAGTTGACCACATTTAGCTTCAATTATTCAATAGAAAAAAGGGTGGGTTAGGAGAAAATTAAAATTTCGTTTTCCACGAAAATGGTCCACTACGAGGAGAGTAAAGCGTTTAATTTTCCTGGAAAATGGTCCCCTACGAAATAAGGAATTGAAAGGAAATATTGGGCATAATGACTTGACTGCCCAATTAGCAAGTTGAGGAATAGTTTACATTGACTTGTAAGTTAGTAAGTGTATTTTTAAAATTTCTTTTTGAAGAACTGATGTAAAAATTTATATTTTAATTAATATTTTTAAAATCAATTATTAAATTAAAAATTCTTTTTATTTAGATAATGTATGTTAACTTTTATATCAATCAAACATTTATAATTTTTAATTGAAAAAAACTTTATTCTTAACATATATATATTTAACAGTGTTAAATTTGATATAATTAATAAACAAATTAATTAAACTTACTATATTAATTTAACAATTAATCTGTATGATTGATATAAATATAACTTTTAATTAATAACTAGTTTTGAAATTAGTAATTAAAAAATATTTTTAGAGGACTATTTTAGAATAAATTTAAGAAGGCAATATGTAAAACTCACTTTCCTTCAAATATTAACCATCATAAATCTTAGCGTCCAAAGACAATTTTATTAAATGCAATATGTAAGGAAAATATTAATTTATAGGTGCATGTAAATTGATACGAGACTATTAAAAAAGAAAAATCATAAACTTTTAAGATAAGAACTTATCAATACTAAAAATTTTATTATTGGTATTTTGTCTGCCTTTTTCTCTCTTTCTTTTTGGGTCCGCTATGAACTTTGTTATTTATTAGTACTTCTTTTTTGACAAAATGGATCTTTCTTTCCCTTATGGAAATAATCATATGCTAGTAATGTGATTTTCTTTTGCTTGTTACTTAATATCATAGAAATTTAAATTTATAATTTTAACTTTAAAATAAAAAATTTAAATTAATAAGCAATAATTCAACCAAATTTTTATTGATTTTTGAGTTTATTATAATACGATGATATGAACTAGTTTAACTTAAACCTTGCCATACTGCAGCTCATTTATAATAATTTTTGAGCAATTCTCAATATCATACCAGATTTTTGTTGGCAGAAATTTCCAGCCCATGTGAACACATGGACTTCCATGTGGTAAAATCTTCATACCCTATGGTAAAAGGCTGCACCTATAGCAGCTCTTGCTGAATGTTTGCATGTTAAATTCAACTATTGCATTTAATGAGGGAAGAAAATCATGCATGGGTGGTTGGGTTTTTTCCCTATAAATAGCATGCAAAGGCAAGGCAATAAGCAAGCAAGAAGCAAAGAGTGCAGCACCAAAGTGAGCAAAAAGAGGGCTCCGGGAAAAGGGAAAAAAAGGGGTGAAAGTTAGGCATTAAGCTTAGGTGTGAGTGTGCTCCATAGAGAGAGTACATTGAGTGATAAAAATTGTGAGTTTATCAGGATTGTGATCATATCCTGGGGGAGTGGGAAACACCAAGAGAGAGAAAAATACTTGAGTATATATTCTGTACAATTTTATCATATAGTGGAATACCCTTCGGAGTTTGTCCCGTGGTTTTTTCCCTCAATAGTTTTTTGGGGGTTTTTCCACGTAAAATTTGGTGTTATTTTGCTTGTTTATTTTCCCGCTTAAGTGGCTGGTTGAACCGCCCA